ACCCCCCCCCACTAAAACACTGAGCAAAAAGTTCTCGCCTTCTCTCGCCACACTCACAGGCGTGCCATGTCAACAAACAAGTGTCATACGACAATGGTGTCACTTGCCAGATGACAATGGTGTCACACGACACTCGCCCAGGGGATCTGTCACACTTCAAGGAGACAAGTTACAACACTGGGTGTTTGGCGGGTGTTCTGTTGTGGTTTGCTCCTTTTTTTTTCAAATCAAACATCTGATTCTGTAGTTCTTATCTCTCCACCTTCTTCTTTGTGTATGCTACTATCAAGTAAAACCTCTAATCTCCGTCACTTACTGAAAAGGGGAACACACGTGAGGAATAATCGAGCTGGAAAAAGAAAAAGGGAACGGAGGAATGGAGAAGGGGGGAGGAGGGGGAGAAAAAGGAATGAGAGAAAGAAGAGAACGGTTTGTGGAAAAGAGTGCAGGAAGGAGGGGTAAGGGTTGAGAAGAAAAAGGATAGAGTGAAGACAACAGTTGTGGGTGAAGACGCAGGACGGAGGGATGGGAGTAAAGAAGAAAATGGGTAGAAAGAGTTAAGATCAGCTTGTGGAAGAGAGTATAAGAAGGGCGGGTGGGGGTAGAGAAGAAAAGGGATAGCGACAGAATAGAACAGGTTGTGGAAGAGAATGCAGGGAGAGAATGAAGGAGGGAGCGGTATTCCATTCTTTTCCACCCGAAACTGTTCTCGAAATTTCCCTTTGTTCCCCGTCACTCACTCTCACAGACTTACACAAATATCCACTCAATCTCATTCCCCACACCATCATCCCCTCAACTCCGCCCCTCAATTCCACTTAAAAAACAAAGCAAAACAAAACGATTGACACAAAAAAACATTTAAAAGCTAACAAAAAAGACAATACCCTCTACGAAAAAAACCCCAATCAAACAAACAAACAACTACAACAACAACAACAACGATGACAAAATGCACATATACCCTCGCTCTATAAAATAAAGAAAGAAAAAGCTCTCACATTCCCAGGATAATATACTTCCTCTTCATTTAAAAAAAATATTTTTTTTAAAATATATATTTTTTTAATATATATATATATAAGTCTATATAAGTTTTAAA